TCAGCATTTTCATCATCATCATCAGCATCATCATCATCATCAACATCATCATCATCAGCAGCAGCAACATCATCATCACCATCATCATCATCATCAGCATCATCATCACCACCATCATCATCATTATCATCATCATCATCATCATCATCATCATCATCATCATCATCATCATCATCATCATCATCGTCATCATCATTGTCATCCTACTCTTCCTCCTCCTTCCCTCCATCCCTCCGTCCATCCCTCCCTCCCTCATCATCATCATCATCATCATCATCATGTCATCATCATTGTCATCCTACTCTTCCTCCTCCTTCCCTCCATCCCTCCGTCCATCCCTCCCTCCCTCCCTTCCTCCCTGCCGTCCTCCCCCCCGCACCCTTTCACTCACCCACCCACCCACCCACCCTCTCACTCACTCACTCACCCACTTACTACAACCAGCTCTTTCATCCCTATACCTCATGGAATTCCCTTCCTTGTCACCACAAGATCGCCGATGCGCTATTCAAGAACGCAGGTGTAGCAGGGAGGGCAGGGAGGGCAGGGAGGGACGGAGGGCGGGAGGAAGGGGCGGGCGAAAGGGGAGGAGAATGTGGACGAGGAGAGGGGGGGGGGGAAGCCCAAGGTGCAGCACGACCGAGCGTCGAACACGCCCAGCTGCTCACATGCCCGCGCGACTGCAGATCGGAGCACGAGGCGCTCAGCGTGTCGGAGAAACGAGCAGAGGCCAGCGCTGCCGCTGCACATGACCAGCTACCCCAGGCTGCAGCGCGTTGAGAAATATTGCGCGAACGGCAAGGCTGCGGCTCAAGTGGACGAGAAACCCGCCGAATCTGACAAGGCATCATAGGCCTGAGAGAGGCAGGGATCCGAGGTTGCGAAAAAACGCACTGTCGCGAAAAAACACGACCAGAGCCCTGGACCTCATCTTTCCGCGCCACTTTTCAAGCTGGATCGATGCGTGAGGGCCCCTGGGCCCGAAACTAGGCAAGATCGCCCGTTGTGAAGAACTCCGGCTCTTCCTCCTCGTCCTCCTCCTCGCCCTAAAAGAGGCGGAGGCGGCCTTCCTGATCCGAAAGGCTTTCGGGCCATTCGTAATTCGGGCTCTGGCGGTCGTTCGAGATGATTCGGGCACCCCCAGAACGCTCTCGGCAAGGCGCAGCTGCTGGAGAGCATCCCGAGGCTGGACAAGCGCCGAGAACCGACAGAAACGCCCGAAAACCTCGAACTCGAACCCTCCCTCCGCTCCAGCTGACAACGTCGGCCGCCACGCGCGCTTTCTCGGCGTTGGGGATGCCCACCATCAGGGTGCTGCGCCTGCGGCCGGAGAGGGAGTGGGCCACTTTCGGCAGCGGGCGCGCGGAGGGTGGGCAACCAGGCGCCCTCGCGCACGAGGAGGGGGCGACGAGAAGAAGGAAGGGAGGAGCTTCAGAGATTCAGATCTATCGCGAAGCGAATGAATCAAAACAAAAAAACCCACACTGCCAGGGCATATGCAGCGTTGGGAGAGACCTAGTGCACCTCGGCCGCTCCAAACCCCAAACGGCCAAGGAGGGGAGGGGACGCTCAGAGGTGCACGTACACGTCCAACGCCTCCAGGACCGGCCCCCCCCCCGAAGGGAGGGGGCCCCCCTGCCACCCGCCAGGCACTCCAGGCACTAGTCGGGGACACAGGACACCCCTCGCCACCAGGCGGGGCACCTGGTGCGAGTCTCGGGGCGGGTGCCCTGGCCTGCTCCCCCCAGTCCCCTTGCCCAAGGGGGACAGAGCAGGACTCCCCATGAGCCTGGCCGAAGCCAGACCCCCCCTCCACACCCTGGCGCGACCGGGGGGTCGCCGGGCCAACACAGTGGAGGGGACCCGATTCGGCCGTAGCCGAATCGGGATTACCGTTTAGGCCCGAAGACCGGGGTCGGTGCCCCCCATACAGGCCACGACTAAGCGGGTTTCAGATCCCCCGGACGCCGGGAGGTGCCGCCCACACCAACCGGCTGCCCGGGGGAAGGGAGGAGCGGGGAGGAAAGAGTAGGGAGGTCAGCTCGTCCTTCTTGCGTCTCCAGGAGGCTTCTGGTCCCCACGGCTGGACCGCAACGATGGGAGGGACCAGGGACAGATTTTGAGCGGACTTCGGCCGGGCGGGAGGGGGGAAGAGGAAAGAGGGAACAGGGAGGAGGAGGAGGAGGAGGAGGAGGAGGAGGAGGAGGAGGGAGGAGGAGGAGGAGGAGGAGAGGGACCTCCTCGTGAGACGTCACGACTCAACTTGCCAAAGACGGCGCACAATGGCAAAAAGAAAATGTTCGTCATCTTCACGATTCGTCTTCCATCCTCCCCCCCACCGTGTCTCTTTCTACTCCGCTTTCTCTCTCTCCCTCTCTCTCACTCTTCATCCCCCTCCCCCTCCCCCCTCCCCCTCCCCTCCCCTCCTCCTCCTCCTCCTCCTCCTCCTCCTCCAACTCATATACCTCCTCCTCCTCCTCCTCACTCACTCACTTACTCACTCACTCACCCACTCACTCATTCACTCACTCACTCACTCACGCACGCACGCACGCATTCACTCACTCTTCCCCCCCTTCTCCACATGTGCCTACTCCTCAGACTCCTTCTCTTGCTCCTCATCCATCTTCTCACACCTCCTAGATTACCATTTTGGTTCAAGCTGTTTGTGTTCTTATGAACAAGGAGGATACCACTGCTCCGCGGCAGTCAAGGCGTTCGCGTGGCATCCACCTCTCGCAAGGCTGGTCCGCCCCAGTCTGAGGCTGACTCCCGTGCCCTCGGGTGAGCAGGTCTCTCGCTCTCAATGCGAGATGGCCTCAAGGAAGTGGACCAGAGTTTCTCAGGCAGACGAGGCCCCCACCTTCATGGGGGAACTGGTCTCAGACGCGTCGTGATCATGATTTTGACTCTGCTCCTGGGCGCGGGCGGCAATGCGAAGAAGCCGATCGGTACGGGGATTACTACAGCTTGTGCGGCGAGTGTGACCACTTAGAGTTCGACTACTGGGGGCGCGCCGAGTGCTCCAAGTGCGGTGCATCATCCAAGTCTACGGCGTCACGTACTTGAGCTGTCCGTGTGGCAGGGGGAAAGCAGGAGGTGTCGATCTACAGCAAGTCAAGGCGACCTGCATTGTTCCCTCATCTGTCTGGTGTACTTCAAGGGCTGTTTCCTCCGCTTGCGTCGCCCATCCCGCCGACTGCCGTGGAGCTGGACGCGACTGTGGCGACCAAGAGGACGCAGATTGCGAACAATCTCGGGCATGCGGCCAAGCAGGACCACATCACGTGGCAATCTAGGACGAGCAAGCAGGAAGTGCTGGCAAATGCCCATGCCAAAGCTGCTGAAAGGAGGTGCTGGTAAACGCCCATGCCAACGCTGCTGAACCTGAAGAAGGGTATCCGGAAGCGACCAAAGAACTCGGGGACGCGCGGGCTGCGCTGGACGCTGCGAAGGCTGAGCAGAACGGTCACGATGAGGATAAACTCAAAAGTGGCAAAAGCGCGAGCACGCGGAGCACAAGCTGTACCTGGGCCAGGAGGTGCGGCCCCAGCGGCACCAGGTGGACCTGCGGCACCAGATGGAGGTGTTCAACGCGCTGGCGCTGCAGTTCCGAAGGCTGCGTCCCAAGCTGCACCGCCTGATGCGAGTGCTGGGACTGCCAGAACCCAGGCGGCGTCCGCAGCCGAGACGGTGGTTTCCAACCCTGAGCGGTTGGTCAAATTGCGCGAAGCCACGGATGACTGGCAGAGGTTGCGCACTGCCCGGCTCGCTGCATCTAACATCACTGCGGGGGTGCAGCGAGGAAGTGGTGCGACCAGTGGGTCAGTAGATCTGCCAGCATAACCAATAGCACTTCAGATGGACGATAATGATGATGAGGATGGTGATGATGGTGGTGATGATGATGAGGCTGACGGTGATACGAATGATACTGATGATAAATCAACCAACCAATCAATCGCATTCGGCAGCCATGGGTCATGCAAATACGTATGCTCAACCCCCTTCTCGCACCTGCGTTCACTTCTGTACGGCAGGAGCGACTGGCGTGCGCACACGAGGTGGACAGAAGGCGCCTGATGCCTCTCGACCGTGCTGATTCTATCCAACCCGTCCGAATCGTCTCCGTTTGGCGCGCAGGCGCCAGGTGGGACTCGGGGGCGCGGGAGGCCCTCATCCCGCAGGAGACGCAGCCTCGCGGAAAAGAAATGCAGGGAGGGGGCGGAGGAAGGGGAAGGGCGCCGCACAACGCACTGGCAACGGCATTACGACATCTTTGCCGTTTTTGTTTCGCCATCGGCATTCGTTACGACGAAATCCGCCAAGCAATTATCTACATGGGCGGCGGGGAGGAGCAGGAGGAGGAGGAGGAGGGGAACAACTCATTTATTTCCTGTTTCGTGCCCCTCACCGTGTAGGCCATGCCGCCGGCAGGCGCCTTACCGACCCTGGGGTGGAACTGGACCAGAGGCCCTTCTGCAGTGGGTGCCCGAGCTCGCACTGGAAGCGCACGTCGGTGTCGATCACCAACGGGTGGAAGTCTTCGCCGATATTCAAAATGTTCTCGAACTCCTCCTTGCTCACTGGCAACGGCCAGCGCCTGTGCATTTTGACTTGGAGACGCGCCTGCACCGCCTGCCCTTCTTTCGTAAACATCTCGCTCTGGCGGCACGATACGACGATCTCGTCGAATGTTTGGGGATCCTCGGCGAAGAGCTTGGCAAGCATGTCGCGCAGCGAGCGCAGCGCGAGGACGAGGAGCTCGCCCTTGCCTGGGCTTCCCCGACACGCTCCAGCATCGAGTCCATCATGGCCGGGAACGCCGAGATGTGCGGCGGCAGCTCCGGGTGCGTGGCGCCGTCCTCCGTCTTCTTGACGCTCTCGTCGTAATCCTTGGTAGCCTTCTGCATGGCCAGCACCATCGGGCTGCGCACGGGGCCGCGCAGCCGGCACGCGTCGCTCTCCACCTCGCGCAGCCAGGCCTCCATCTGGAGTTGGAGCTCCCTCTCCAGGCTCTCTTTCCTCCGCCCCGACTCGCGGCTCTCGGCGGCGCCTCCAGCGGGGGGGGGCCTCGCCAGCCCTGCCAGCGGCGGGAACTTGGGAGCCCAGCGCGCGCTGCATGGCCGAACACCCAGTTGGAAGTCGTCGGGCAGGAGCGGAACGATGCGTTGGTCGCGGACGTGTCTGCGCAGCGCCTGCAGGGTGTGAGCCTCGCGGACACATGCGCCGCACTCGATGGGATCGATCTCGATGGGGGCACGGCGCGCGACCCTCTGGTCTAGGGTGCATCGTCATGCGCGACGGTGCGCAGTGGCGCGATCGGTATAAATGCTGCGCCCTACGACGCAGACGTTGGTCGGCGCGCCACAAACGACACGCGCTGAGCTCCGCGAGCCCCCCACCTTCCTGTGGAGACAGCGCTGCAACCTCGACCTCGTGGGTCTAAAGACTTCCGGGCAGCGCGCGCCATCGTCTCAGAAGGCTGGGCAGCGCAAGGGGAGGGGAGGGGCGTCGACCCGAGCAGGAGGCGCGCCGGGCCGCACGCTGGCAGGTGCCTGCGGCGGCGGCACCACGACAGAGAAAATCTGAAATTCGAGGGTCTTCGCGTCGAACTTGATAAACTCTCCGCGGGCGACGGTGAAGGGGGCAAGCAAGTAGACTAAACTGCAGCCCAGATGGCCTCTCCCTCCTCGGTCGCGCCCACAACCCGCATATCAGGTTGGCCTCAGGGGCGGGCCTGCCGTCGGCGATGTCGACGACGGTGTCGAAGTTGATGGTGCCGAAAACAACGGTGAGAAGCTGCCGGTTGTCGGACTGGTGCTGGGCGACGGATTGCCACCACGCGTTGCGCCTCAGGAGCAGGCGGTCGAAGCATGGCATGAGCCGGAGGCGCTGGAACACCTGCTTGTTGGTGAGGGTGCGCACATTGTCGTCGGAGTAAGAAGCCGCCTTCCCCTCGAGAAGGACACGGGCGTCTTTGGCGAGCTGGACGTCGAGCGCGCGGACGTCTGACGGCGCCAGCGGGCCGCCCCTGGAGCCAATGAAGGCTTCAAGTCCAGAGAGTGCTGCACCTTGCACGCGGCTGGCGAAAACGATGGCGCGGAACTTGGGCGAGACGCGCGCCTTCCAGAACTTGCCCATGCTGTGCCATCCCTTGGTCATGGCCTCCAGGCGCTTCTGTCTCTCGGGAGCGACGCTGAGCTTGCGAAAGCGCTTGCCGCAGGGGTAACTGGCTTCGGGAAGAACTTTGCCGTCGAGCTCGAGCTGCTTTGTGAACACGTCGCGTTCGATGGCGGATGCGCCGGTCCCCCCACCAGTCGGGGCGTCGTCATGCTTGGAAAAGTTCTGGGCCACGCCGGGGCGGCCGAGGAGTGCGGCGATGGCCTCTTTCTGTTTGTCTCGCACTCTGAATGAACTGCTCGGGCCGTAAGGCTATGATTTTGTGGCCAATGTCGTCGACGAACTCGGCGTGGGCAAGATTGACCTCGCTGCCGGTGATGGGCGCGATGCCCTCCAGCAGCTTGAGAGAGTCGTGGTCGTAGAGGTCGGCCGTGAGGTCGCCGAGCGTGCGCGAGTAGACGGTGACAACTTGTCGCGTGGCAGCGTGGTCCCCTGGGAAGATGCCTTCGCCGGGGCTCATATGCACTGCCGTGTCGTGGCCTTCCATCACTAGGGTTGCCTCTTGGGTGCGCTGCTGCAGGAGAGGTACTGCATGGGCTATCACGAGCTCGGCCGCCGCTTCGACGACGACGCTGTGCTTGACGCTCAGAACAGCGTTGGTGGCATCGTGATGTCTGGTGACGTGGCAATACCCTGCACGTTTAAGGCGGTAGCTGAGAAACACCTGAACGAGATAGCTCCCTCTCGTCGCCGCCCGACACCTCCGCATACGCAGTGTGGCCACTTCTCCGGCGCCTTCAGCACAGAACGGAAGAAGCTGCGGCCCAGTGCACATAATACCATAATTACTCGTTCACCGTTGCACTACAGCTTGCCGCTCCCCTTCGCGAGCTTGATGGACATGGCCTGGTGCCATACTCGGGGGACACGCTGGCAGACGCGGAGAATTTGGCATAGCTGACGTAACCTCGTGCCGAACGTCGGCATCTCGATGGTGGGCGCGCTGGCGCCGACTCCAATGCGCCGCTCTGGGCGATAGTACCAGTTCAGGTTGGTCAGCACACGCAAGACGTCGGATGACGTGCTCCACGGGGGCCAGGCCCTCCAGCTTTGCAGTTTCTTGATGACCTCCTCGAGCCTGGTGACGTCTTCCTCACTTTCGTACCAGGCGCCGATCTCAAAGAAGGGGTCGACACGAGGAGGAGGGACAGGAGGGAGGACGGTGCAGTGCCCAGGGGCCTGCGGCGACAGGGGCCTGCGCCAATGCCCCGCCATCTTGCCGTGGCGGGTTTGGGCCAGCAGCGTCGCAGAACATCCTCCCTCCCCATCCAGGCTTTCGGAGCTTCTCGACCCACATCTGTGTGGGAAACGTGGCCTTGGGCGCAACAGTGTAGCGCCGCTGCCAGGGGCCCATGTGCGTGGACGCGATGAGCCGTCTCAGTTTGTGAACCTCGTAGAAGTGCCGCTTGGTCCACGCCGCGTGCATCGCGTCCTCCCTCTCGCGGTTGATCTGCTTCCAGTAGTGCTGGTTGTGGTTGTCTGCTTTCAGTCGTCGGGACCGCCTCGGGATCTCCATACTGAATTCGATGTCGTGGTCGGAATGTCGCTGTTCACGCTCACGGAGGTACCGGCGCCGGTGCAGGAGGTCGGCGGCCGGCGAGCTGACGGACGTGCTGCCTATGATCTTCCTGCTTGAGCGGTAAGTCCGCTAATGTGTGAACGGCAACATTGTCGATGATCTGCGTGAAGCCGGCAGCAAAATCGTCGAGTGCGTGCGCGTCTATGGCGCTCTTGAAAAATCCGGCATGCTGTCGGAGATGCTGCTCGACCTCGTGGCACAGCTACTCACGGCGGTGGCCTCGTTGCAGACACGCCGAGGCTGCCTCTTGGTTGACTTTCCTGAGTCCGCTGGCCGTTCGGACTAGTTGCAGAAAAAAATCAATTGCAAGGGAACGTGATCTCGCGGCCGATTGGCCCGGATCAGCTGCAGTCTGGCACCTGCGGACGGCAACGGTGCGGCGCGCTCCACTGCGCGGCGCAGGGCAAGGGGGACAGCGACGTGGTCGATGTAGGAGTGGCTGGCGCGGCCGTGGAAGGTGGGCGTCTGGACTTCCCAGCTGATCGCGATGATGAGCCCGTGCGCGGCCAGGAGGACCCTCATGACCTGCGCGGCGTGGCCCTCAGTGAAATGCAATTCTGGGCCCACCACCTGGTCCTCGGAGCCTGGGTACTGGAACGAGTCGTTGAGGTCCATGGTGATGATGGGCGTGCTGGGCGCCGGCGTCTCCGACAGAACGTGGGCAGAGAAGGCGATGAGCGTAGCGACGCAGCGCTTGTACAAGTCCCTTGGCCCGGCTTGCTCGGCGCGGCTGCGGGGGAAAATACAACGCGAGGTAAGTGACGCAGGCCATTCTGCACTCGGATCGCACCCGCGCGCCCACTGAGCTCGCGCGGAGGCGTGAGCACACGCTTCACCATGCGGATCTGGTATCTTGAGCGCTGCAGGAGAATGGAGACCCCGGCGCTCCTGATGGAGTAGGCGGAGTCCCTCCAGCCGAAGTGGAGCACGAGATGGCGAGCAGTCCGCCTGCGCACGACGGGGTCCTTGGTGGCTTTGAACTGATTGCCGACAAGGCTGATCATCTGTGCGCTGCTGAACTCCTCGCTGATGTCGGCGAGGCGCTGCGGGTGCGACAGCGTGAGCGGGTTAAAGTGGACTAGCTTGTGCAGGATAGCCATGCAGACGAGTGGGGCCAGCCGCCCTCATGGGCCGTCTGCAGGGAGTCGCTAAGGGTGCGATGCCATCAAAAGTGTGTGGTGTCGGGTTGTGTGGCTCTCTGGTAAAGGTCTGAACCGAAATGGGCGACATGATGATGATGATGATGATGATGATGATGATGATGATGATGATGATGATGATGATGATGATGATGATGATGATGATGATGATGATGATGGCGACGAGAAGGACGATGCTGATGATGATGATGATGTTGATGATGATGCTGATGATGATGCTGACGATGACGATGGTGATGGCGATGATGATGCTGAGGCTGATGCTGATGATGATAATGCTGATGCTGATGCGGATGCTGCTAATGATGATGATGCTGATGATGACGACGACGATGATGACCCTCTACCAGAGAAGGCCAAAAGTGAGTTGCAAGCATTGCGGCAGCGGCAGGCTCTCGGCCCTAGCACTCGCACGCTTCTTCTTGCCCTGAGCTTGCGAGAGCCAGGCGACGACATTAGCCAGGGCGGCCCGCCTGCCATCCTAGGGGAAGGCGTCGAGAACCCCGCTGGCAACGATGGTGCTGCCGAACACGTTTTTGTTCGGACAGGTGGTGCATGTGCCATTGTCTGAACACCGTGTTTCGGATCTAATGGTCACCTCACCTTGGGCTTTCATGGCGCTCTGCTCCGGGACGTAGTCATGCCACCCCTCAACGATACCTGGGTGCAGCCGCCTGAGGTGGTTGACCATGACATGGGCGATTGTTTCGTCCTCTTCGGCTGCTTCCCGAACACATGGCCGCAAAATACTCGCACACCTGACTGGCCCGGTGGGGTGCTGCGGTGGGCTCAATGAAACCGTGACCACGACTGCCTGCTCAACACTACTGCCATGTGCGGCTGCCCTTGCAGCCCCTCGGCACCCGCCCCCCTGCGGCCCCTCGTCGCTACTACACCAGGAAATATGTCCCCATGAGACCACCGTAGACGGACCTGCACTGGACTCAGCACGGGAGCCCTCTTTGGGGTCGGTGGCAGAGGCGGCAGCCGTGAAATAATTGAAACTGTATGCTTTCGGGCCCAAACGTCGCGATCTGCGTGAGGGGTGCCACCGATGTTCAGAACTCTGAGGATGTCCGTAGCCAAACGGCTGTTCAAATCCGAACACCGACAGTCAATCGCATCTGAGCCAAACTCCCTCGGAGAGGTGCGCATGACAATTATGTGTACATATTGACATTTACGCCAGTAATGATACCATGATGCCGCCAAACAACGACGACCACAGCAGGGAGCCGGCGAGGAAAAAGAGCGAGGATCTCCAGCGCTGCAGCGAGCCTACCGTCCACGTAGTGCTCCCACTTGTTCGTCAGGGTCCACTCTGGGCCCCCCAGCACGGCGCTGACGACGTGGCGCATCTGGGCGGCCGGGCGCCCACGGACGTGAGGACGACGACCTGATCCTCATCTTTTCATCTGCATCCTCATCCTCACTGCTCCTCCTCATCCTCCCGTGCTCCTCCTTCTCCACCCAATCCTCCTCCTCCTCCTCCTCCGCCTCCTCCTCCTCCTCGTCCCTCCTTCTCCTCCTCGTCCCTCCTTCTCCTCCTCCTCATCATCCTCCTCCGTATCTGTTTTGGCTCTGGATGATCTGCTCCACAGGAGAACACCTGGATACCGCTAGTCCGCGGCAGGCAAAGATGTTCAGCATGGCATCCTTCTTTCAAGGAGCCTCGCACCACCCGTCTGCCAGCGCAGGCGGGCCCCTCGTTCCCTTTCTCACTTTCCAAAGATCGCGCCGCGCTCACTCTCCTGATCCCGATGCGGGGGATGCAACAATTGGGCCTCCAAACACAAGGCTAGGCAGAAACACGGCTATTGCGTCAAGTGCAGTTCAGAGATCACGATCTGGGCGGAATCAAGGCGCAGCCAGGCATATGAGGACACCCCACCCTGGGCCACCGAGTCCAAGGGCACCTACGCGGAGGTTGTGTGTAAGCAGCTGGCAGCTCTTCAAGTTTTGCCTCGACCCAATCATGGAGGCGCAGCTGGGCGAGCCGCAGAACACCATCACGCAGAAGGCAACCCCTAAGTCAAAGGAGTTACCGAAGGCGGCAGTTCTCAGGCAGGCCATCACGAAAATCAACACGGCGAAAAACAAACTGGAAAGCCTCAGCAGAAAGCACGCGGACGCTGAGAAGGTGGTGCAGAAGTTGCATAACCAGATGGAGCAGGCGGCAAGCAAAAGTTCATGAAGCGAAGGAAGAGCACGCGAGGTCGCTGGAGGAGTACTACTCACTGGCCCAAATCGGAGGGCACGGCGGGCAAGAAGCTGGACTCGAGGGGAATGGTGTGCGGCGCTTCCATTTCCGAGAACACCGACGATCTCAAGCAGGAGCAGACAGACAAGTGGACCAGCTTAATTAAGCAGCTCAGAGAGGACGCCACGTCTCTCCAGGCACTCCTGCAGCGGGCAAACCGGATCAAAACCAAACACGCGCAGAAGCAGCGGAAGGTCGACGACGCAGAAGGGCCGCGCATTCAATCCCAACCCGCTGCTCCCCCCCCCCCCCACGCAGTCGGAGGCTGGCGGTAGCATCGAAGCTGAGCCCGACCCGCAGAAGCACAAGCAGAAGGTCGAACGTTTCGGCTAGGTCCTCTCAGACAATGAGGCGAAGACAAGAGCGGGTACGGCTTCAGTGCGTAAGGCATGTGCTGAGCCGCGGCCTGGTGGCGCTTCTCCTGGCGCTGGCAGCCGCGACGGTAAGCAGCGGCGTTGACCAGGAGACGGCCAGCAGCACGACTAGATTCTTCAGTAATAGCACGAAGTGGGGAGACAAACCCCACGAGTACTTCAATGAGAATCACTCCATGGCAGGTGTGCTCGCCTTCACGGAACTGCACGTCGCTGTCAGTGGAGTTACCGAGCTCAAGAAGGATATCAACAAATATGGTTGGAAGGCAGCGGTCGCGGCAGACACAACGATTCACCGCTCGCAGGGGGGGCGCCAACGGGGGTGAGATGCTTGTGGCCGAATCACGCATGGCGACTATACGCACGACGAGATGCGACAGAACATGATCAAGCAAAGCTGCCGCGACCCCTGTGCGATGGTTCCCGGCTCTGCATCTCCATCTGGGGGAGGTAAATCATAGGTTGTTCTCATCGATTATACTCCCCAGGGAGGGCATTCCTGAAAACAACTTCGAGAAGTTTAGGAGCTTGTCTGCCCTCATTGGCAGCATTACCGACCCATGGACCAGCATGGCCGATTGAACCAAACACAGTAGCCGTGGAGAAATCAGGACTACCAGCTCGAGTGGGAAGTCGCACCACCAGACCGAATGTGGCAGTCACTCGCGATAAGGGCAAGACCAGCCTCATCGATTTCGCGATGGCGCGCGAGGATATAGCGATGGGATATACATCGAGCCGGAGGCAGCGGCACCCTGGCGCACGCACATGGGCTTGAGAGTGGTGGCCCCTGGGCGCTCGCAAGCATGGTGGTACAAGCATCTGGACTTGCCCAGGCCGCTACCGCCAGGTCCTCCTCCGCGGAGGCTGCCCGACCCACACAGCAAACGCAGCAAGCAGAAGGAGACGGCGAGGGCTCGACGATTGGCGGCCCCCCCAAAGAACATGCAAGAGGAGTTCAACATCAACGAGCCGCCCTCGGCTGGGGTGGTAGCTGAATGCGTCGCGTCACACATCGAAGGCAGCGTCTGGGAGGTGACCACCCAGAAGGACATTGCGCCGAGCTACACCAAGATCTCGAGCAGCACCTCCTCATCCACAGTGACCATCAGCGCATCATGGAGCAGGCTACGCTGGCGGAGCAAACAGCCTGGGTCACGGCGTTGGAGGAGGCGATCGCCACAGTGGACGCGGCGCAAGCCCACAGGGGCAGAGCCCGCGGATTTGCGGTGAGATGGCAACGATCGAAGGCGACACAAGATCGGTCCCAAATAATTCACCGGCGAGCGGAGCACTGGCCCACCCTCGAGGCCCTCGTCACTCGCCGCGCGGCCCTCAGGCAGAAAGACTCAGACTAAGGCAACATAATACATGTGCATCGAGCCTCTCTTCGCAGCGCCACCAGCTGCGACGACTGGGGCCCGAGCAAACGTTCGGAAAGAATCACGATTATGAGGGGGCGGACGAGCGCATGCTGCAGTTACGGCACGACAAGAGCCTCACGTTGGAGGAGCTAGAGCGGATCAAGCAGGAGGTAGCGCGTCACCTGGCCATTGCGGTGGCGCGCGGGCCCACGCTACAGAGGCAGCGCTTCGCCCAATGGGCCAAGCGGATGCGGTCCGAGTCACCAGGCGGTCTCCGCAGACACGTCAAGGAGTCATCGCGCTCCGCCATGGACCGACATCCCCATGCAAACCAAGGCGGAGATATGGAAGAAGGTATGGACCTTTGCTGTTGGCAGCAGGAAGTTCATCAAGGCTCCGTTGCGCATCATGCATCGACGGGCACGAGAAAGCACCAGAAATCACGATCGAGTTGGACGCGGTGGCGGCCGCCACGAAACCCAGCAAGGCTGGGGGAGCCGACGGCCTCAAGCTTCAGGATATCAAAAGGTTCCCTCTCCTTGCAAGGCAGCGGCTGGTTGACTTGATCAACATGTGCGAGCAGTCGGGCACGTGGCCTCGGAAGTGAACGGCGACCTTGGGCGCGCTGGCGCCCAAGCCGTCTGGCGGCGAAATGGCCACGGGCACGCTGCCGCTGCCAGTAAAGTTATAAAGTAGGGCAGGGGCGCCCCTGTACAGCGAGCGGAGCAACTCCCTCAGTGCCCGCTGGGACACGGCTATCAGAGGCAGCTCGGCGCCGACGACAGGGATTGCACGCGCGCGTCTCGACGAGGCAGGGTTCGCGCTCCGCATCACGAGCCTCGCCCTCCTCAAGGACATTGAGAGGTTCTACGACAGCGTCAGCCTCGTGCTTTTCATGGGGATCGCCAGGAACGTTGGCTAGCAAGTGGCGGCGGTCGAGATGAAGGTGCCGATGTTTGCAGAGCCACGTTTCCTCACGGATAAGGCGGCGTTGAGCGAGGCCATCCGGGTGACGCGTTCCCCTGTTGCTGGCTCGCCCAAAGGCGTCAGTCTCGCTAAGGTACGTCCACACCCCATCCTGCAGAGAGCCCACATGGTCACGGAGAAGGATGCCCCTGGGCAGGCGGTCCGAGTAGCGATGGAGTTGGCCCGAGGTCTTAAGCTACAGCGGCTACAGATCTCAGTCAAGCCGGCACTCATCGGCACGTCCCAGGACACGGTCAAGATGACGGCGGAGGTCCTGCGCAGCGGAGGCGCACCAGCCAAAGCGGTCAATTACAGCGAGGACTGGATTGGATGCGAGCGCGGGAAGGAGGAGAACAGATATCACACTCAAGCAGCGTATCCAGAAGGCCAAGAAGCGGCTCGACAAGATCAAAAGGATGAAACGCTCCACCACCCTGGCCAAGGAGGCCGAAGGCCTCCGGGCCACTGGAACCTCCCCGCAGGCGAGCTACGGGCACCAGGCGCCCGGGCTCTCTTACACGGAGTCAGTTCGGCTACGACGGCAAGCAGGACAGGCGGCCACGGGCTCGCAGTGGGGGGGGGGGCCTCACCATGACCCTCGCTATTGAGCTGTGGGAGAATGAGCCAGGCCTGGAGATGCGTCGGCGCGCGGTGTCGGAGTGGCTGGCGACGCGGCAGCAGAACCCCCAGGTGCACGTGAGGGCGAAGCTGGCCCGGGCCAAGATCAGGCTGAAGTTGCCCGGAGCGGGGCGGGGAAGATGGGACTACGTCAAGGGCCCCATCATCACACTCAAGGCCACGCTCATGAACATAGGCTGGCGGCCCATCAGCGCGACGGGCCGGGAGAGGCCTCTTCCCGATGGACAGCTACAGGCGCGGCCCGTGCCCAGCCGCGCGGGCGAGGATTACATTCTGCACTGGGAGCGCGCGGCCATCCCCAGCGACCTGGCGGCCGACATGCGCAGGATCCACTGGGGCCAGGCGAACAAGCACAGGGCGGCGAGGGCATCCAAGAAGGCGCGGACGTCTGGAGGACAAGAAGAGGGCAGAAGAATATTCACTGGAGCGGGGAGTCGGACCGAGCAGCGCTCAACCTCCTCGTCACTTCAGGAGGTCAATGGACCAGGACCATAAGGTAGTGGACTGGATATCTCGCGAGCTCTACGCGCTGCCCGCGATGCGAGCTCACGGATGACACGCTCTACCCCCGCATAACACAGGCCACGAGGACTCCAAAAAGACCGATGGGCTCGCGGCACAGGCTGCGACCAAGCACGAGACGGCTTCCGCGTTCTGGCTGGGGGGGCTTTCGTCCACCAGCCAGACGGTGCCTGAATTTGATGATTTGCATATCGGTACCCTCAGCTTGCAGTGCCCCTCGGGTGGCCTCGCCAATTGCATTGAAGCAGACCGAGCGCATATTTTTGGAGACGTCTCGGGGGAGCGATGATCAAACGACCCCAGGAACGTCGCAGCGGAGCGGCGATCGTGGGCATCACTTTGGATCCCGGAAGGGCCTGGACTCTCGGGGGGGCCCGTGGACGCCCGCTTTGCGACTGCGACTGCGAATGCGACCGGCATTGCAAGCCCCGTAGGTGCCGCGGGTTGGGACCGAAGCACCCATTACAGATTAGATTGCCTGACAGAAATCTTGCTCTAGATCGTGCCATACATCTCGCGCGGCACACCTCAGGAATAGATGAACAGTATCTCGCGCTTCACGTCCGTCTGCGAAAGCTTTCTGTTCTTCCGGGGTCAACTTTTCTTTGCGCTTTGAAATGAAATGAAAGATGTCGTCAATCCAGCGACGCGTTGGTCGGCGAGGGCGTATTTTCGCATATATTTCAACGTGTTGACACGGACCCAAGACACAGCCTGGCGCATCCACTCCCCGGGCGCCTCGCATGCAACTTTTGCGAACCACCGCCATGTTCTTCGACGTTGTAGCGCGATCCAGTCATCAATGTGCAAGGATTTGGTGTGCTCCCCCACCTCTCTCGTGCTGCGTTTGATCCATTTTACCCAAGGTTCCAAATATTATTGAAGGTGCTCTGCTGCGGGTAGTTCTCCATGTTTTACTCCATCGCTGTCCACATCGTCGTCGCTGCGTGTCGTTGTGTTTGCCATCTCTTCTATCTCTGATCCTTCAGCTTGGCGTACTTCTTTGCGACGTGGCGTCTGGATGATCATTATCAGCATGTGTCTCTGCGTTCGTCGAACTCTGTTTTCAAGTTCCACTGGCATAGCCCACGCTTCGCAACCATATACTAATGTCGGCGTAAGAACACCATGAAATAAACGCATGCGGTCTTTCAGAGAATACCTGCGTCCAACAAGCTCCTGTTTCAAAGAATAAAACTTTCTCCAAGCTGCAGCAATCCTGTTCTCCATTCCCACTCTCTGCGGATCAGAAAAACTCAATTCTCGACCAGGGTATTTTGCGTGTCCGGATATCGGTCATATCGCGATGTCCACGCCGTTGATGTCCATGCTGACTGCGTTCTGGTATTTGCGCGAGCCGCCAAAGCTATTGTGGAGTACTTTTGTCCCTTTGGGGTGCAGGACCAATCCAACCTCCTCCGCGGCACCCTGCAAGTCGCCCATCATCTTCTTCACGTGTCGTAGAGAGGTCGCAAGAACTAATACGCCATCCGCAAACCTCAAATTTGTCAGCCGATATTGATTTGACATCATTGGCACCTCAATTTTGGATTTGATCCACTTTGTCTTCACTTTGTCGATGACATATTCAGATACGCTATTGAAAAAGAGGGAGCTGAGTGGATCGCCCTGCTTTGTCCCACGCTGTATCTGGAATTCCTCGCTGGTGCGATCGGTCTTCACGGTGGCTTTCTGGTCCCGGTACATGTGTCGAAGAACTCGGATGTATCCTTCGTCAACTCCTTGATCAACCAAAGCGCCCCATGTGCCCCTATGCGCAACAGTGTCAAAGGCTTTCTTTTCTGGAAATCCACTGCGACAGCCCAAAGAAGTACTTGGTATTCGTCCGCTGTATCCTGTAATATTGAAATAGTAAAAAAGATGATCTGTGGTGCATCGGAACGGGCGAAAGCCTGCCTGGTCATTCCTTTGTTCCTTGTCCAAAACCGGCACCAGTCTGTTATATAATAATCGAGAAAACAACTTGTATAATATAAGTATAATGCTGGCGGGCCTGTAATTATGCGGTAATTTTGCGTTCCCACTTTTGTATATGACTTTGACCACGGTGCGCTTCCACTCTGTCGGCGCTGGGGCTTTCAAGTTAAGAATATCGTTGTACAGCATGAGAAGATACCATCTCAACCACGATGCCCTTGCTGTCCGCTGCTTTGCCTTTCTTCATCTGTTTCAATGCCGCCTGTAGCTCCTGCATAGAGAACGGTGAAATGCTTGTCGCCGCTGTAGAAGTGTTGTCCTTCTCGGGATTGTTGCTCCCAGCGTCGCAATTCAAATCAGAATACAACTTGCTGTAAAAATCAGCAAACACGTCGGCGAACTCGTCTGCCCCGCACGTGTCCCCACTCTCACACACCATACCTGGAATGAAGTCCTGTGATTTCTGCGATTTGATGCCAGCGATCTTCTTCAAATTACGGAACTCAGATAAGATGTTGTCAATCTCCGATCGGCGCTTCTCTCTCTCTTCATGTTCCGGGTCTTATTTCGGATCTCTTTGTTGACAGCTCGTTTTGCTACAGGGTCGTCTGCGTTGGTCTCGCGTCTCTTCTTTAATAAAAATATCCAACCCACGCTCGTCGTATTGAATTGTGTTTAATCGTGGGGCGCTGGAGCCGGCTATGGTCATAGATTCCAAGATTCTCTTTTCAAGTTGATCACAACTGGGATGTTTGCCCCCTTTCGTACCGCGTGAGAGTTCACAAGTTGTTTCTTCGATGCTGGATTGATATGCCTCCAAATTCTGTGGCGGCCATCGTACTGGCTTCGTGATGGTGTTGTTTTTTTTGTTGGTATTCGTTTTGCTCGTCTCCTTCCGCAGGGCAGCGCTCCGCAGCCGTACCGTGGTATGGTCGGAACCGAGATCTGCAATATCCGTCGTTCCCACGTCTTTGACTGTTTTCCAAAATCGGCGATTCACCAAAAAATAATCGATTTGCTTCTTCACGCTGCCAGGCCCACGGTATGTGCAACGGTGCTGGTATTGTTTTTTGAAAAAAAAGTACTCGTGACGTTGAGTTTGCGGGCCGCCGTCCATTGTCGAAGCCATTGCCCCCGTGCATTCGCCAAGCCATACCCAAATGGGCCCGTGCTGTTAGAATTGTGTCTGACCCACTTGAGCGTTGCAGTCCGCTCCAATGGCAAAGTACATATTCCGCCGCTCCGCCTCGTTGTGGATCTCTGTCAGGATGTTATAGATTGACTGCACATGGTGATCCGCATAATCGCTGTGGGGAAAATACGCCGTAACCAATCTTAGCCGGACGGCTTCAGAGGTCCAAACAGCTCCCCGTATTTGAAGGGTTAGCTTTTTGTATCGCTCTGGAAATCGCCGCTGCGCGTCTGGCTCGGCGGCGATTCGGCGAAGCTGTGGCATCTATGCGATCCGTCTCGGATACCCGACCCAACGCGCCTCCCCGAGCCAACGCAGCCGCCTCCTCCGCCCGCGAATCAGCGCAGGCGTTGCCCGAGGCGAGGAAGAGTTTGTTACGCGTGTCCAGCGTCTCGGGATATTCCTCTGGGTGAGACGGGGACCAAACCTCGCGAGCGCTGTCAAAGCATCTGCCATGGGAGCTCCTGCGGCCCCTGGTCCAGAGGTCCTCGCAGACCCCAGCAGGCTCGGGCCAGCGGGCCCGAGACTACCAAGACCTGGCGGTCGCTTTGTGGTCGGTCACAAGCCCCTTGTTGTTCCCCAGGAGGCCCATGTTTTCACGGACGGGTCGGGCTTCGACGAAGACCTTCCTGGACTTAGGACGGCAGGCTGGTCAGCGGTCGTCCTAGACGGCGAAGACCCTGGCTGCCCGTTTTGGAGTTGTTCCACGCACGGAGGGTCAAGAGAAGCAGGATCGCGACGGGGAGGATGTTGCTGTTCTGATGTTCTCGAGGCGAACGGTCCTGATTAGGCCCCAGGGTGTCCATCTACATAGACTGAGCTGGCACTGTGGGCTGTCTGCGTAAGCCAACGGACGCCGCGAGCAGTACATCGGCGAGGGCCAGCATGCTGGCTGAGATCGGGGACCGCCTCGAGAGTGCGAAGGTATACAAGGTCCCTGCCCCACCTCTCAGGTGAAAGTCAATGAAAGCAAAAAACAAGCTTCAGCGGTTGAAGATTCGGAAGCGGACCGTCTGACCAAGCAAGGTGCCTTACCTTTCCGTCTCTCAGACAAAGAACGCCTGCTGATCAAGGGCTGCTGGGAGATTGCGACTCGCCTCGGTAAGCTCCGTACCGTTCAGCAGGTTGGATGTCGGGACTTGGCGTTCGGTGACTATGTAGGACTGGAGTGGCTCGGATGTGTGTTGTTGGACGCCATCCCAGGCCTACCCATGCCCGTTCCTGGAGGGAGTTCGGGACATGGAGAGGACGCCCAGGATGAGCCCATTTCTGGCCCAGCGGCTGACCCTACGGGCTCTCGTCCTGACTCCTCGGACGTCTCTGCCCCTGCTCCCCTCGGTGTGGCAGCGGCTGGGCCACTCTCGAACAAGATGATATCTTTGAGTCAGATGCGGTCACATTTCACGATTCGTTACTGTGCCCTGGCCCACTCCAAGACCGAACGCGGCGGCCTTCGAAAAGACTGTCGGCCTAAGGTCATCGGAACCCTGGTGGGCTGGCGTATGTAGGTGCCCCCACCCTCGAAGTCTGAGGCGAGTGGCACCCTCTCTCTCCTGGCCTGGGCGCAGGGCAGACCAGGGCCTCCCAGGCCTCCCGCGCGCGGCCCCGCCCCCTCCGCCCCGTAGAAGGAGGGCGGCAGCAGGGACGCGGTGGGGGAGCCTGGCGTCGTACGGCCCCACGGAGGCCGAGGCCTGCGCCCTGGGCCAAGCCAAGCCAGGGAGGCGAGGCGAGCGGGGAGGGAGGAGTCCGGAGTCCAGAGGCCTCGAAGACCCCGACCTCTTCCCCGCGAAGCACCTCCCCCCCCTGTCGTTCGCACGTGGACCTAAGTCGAACCTTTCTCGGTCGTCGGCGTCCTCCTCCCACCATCATACTCCTTCTTCCCCCGCGCCATTCCTCCTGCCCCGACTCCCCCATCCGCCCGTCCACCTCCCGCCCGCCCCCATGTCACGGCCGCGCCCGCGCGCCGCAGAGTGCGGCCCGCCCACGTCGCCGTTGGAGAGCACGCCCCGGAGGCACGAGCCGCAGAAGCTTCTCCTCGCGCCGTGGCCCCGACGAGACCGGCGCCACCCACATCCAGCCCTGTCTCCCCCCTTTACGTTCCTGCTACTCCTGCTCCTCCTGCGCCTCCTGTTCCCCCTGTTCAACCTCCTCCTTTTCCTCGGTTCGGTTCGGTGCGGTCCCAGGCGAGAGTTCCGATGCCGATGCAAGAACAGAGAGGGCGCGGGTTAGGGAAGCAGCAGCCATGCAGCAGCAGGTCAAGAGGAACATGCCGTCGCCTCGCCTGGAAGGCGCACCAATCGTGGCCACACATGCCTGGGCTACTACCTTTTCAAAGTGGGTGCACACTAGAATGGGGGGGTACGATGCCAGAAAAAGGGGGGTGGTAATAAGGAGCCTTCACCCGAGCAGCCGGAAATCGGGTAGTACCGATGACGAGCCGAGCGATTCCGCACGGCACTAATAGGGTACTGCCTTATTACGAACAAAAAGAACGGACACTGGCGGTGGCCTTGGCCGCGGCTCACCTTCACCCCTGGCCCGTCCCCGAAAATCCTGGTGCAGCCGAACAGCAGTGCCATGGCAGGGATGAGTAGGGAATGTATCATCATAATGGCACAAGCTCGGCACAACGGTGGTAGTCAGCGCATACCCCTGTTACTGTGAAGCATGCAATCCAGAGCAGCCATATTGCGGTGGTAACGGTAGAGCCCAGACGTCGCCTGAAGGACCCAACTGGGCAATTGTTCCCAGGGTAGCCTCACGGCCAAGGGTCCAACGCATGGGTCCTCGGTCAAAGGGAGGGAAGGCAACTCTGGGCGAGCCCTGTGGGTCTGGGCCCGTGCGAACTGCGGGGGACCTCAGGGCGCCGCAAGGGTTAAACAAAGTCTCGAGGGGCAAGTCTTGGCCTCAGCAGTGCCCCACTCATTGTCCCTGGTGAGCCCCTCCAAAGCGGAATGCCCCCTGGTGGTTGCACAGGGGGCCCCCTTCCAGAGCTGCCAACCTGACTCTCATAGCCTTCTCGTGCGCGCAAAATACAGCAGTGGGCTTCAGCACGCGGACGCCGAAACGGCACTGGTGAATGAGAAGCTCGACAACATGATCGCGGGCAGCTAGCGCGCGAATCTCGAGCAGTTGCCAGACACTGGGGCACCCAGGCACGCGCGAGCTATGAGCAAGATGCCCCATGATGGCGGGTACTCCACAAACCCGTGCTTCATGCAGAAAGATGATCGAGGTGCACAGTAGCCGGTTAGCCAAGCAGACTTGCTGGTTTCCCGAATGGAAAGGCGTCCAAGCCCCCATGGGTAGGTGTCCGACCGCAGGGGCCCAGGCGGCCCCCTGGCACTGGGCAGGCCCACGACGGGCCATAGACCAGGATTCGCAGGGAGGGGCCATAATGACAGCAGCCACTCGGCCCGAGCGCAACAACTCAAGCCAGAGGTGAGCGGCTCGGGGGGCCCTTAGGTCACCGAACTCGGGGTGGTTTGCAACGCCAAGACGAAGCGCAGATAGCCGAGTGGGGCGCCGTCCCAGGCGGGCCCCCGCATGGTGTCGGACGTCCCCAGGTCTGCCGTGCCTCAAGAAAGGGTGCAACACTAACATGGCAGGCCTCGCTGGGAACCGAACGGGGCCCCATTCAAGCAACTCGAGAGGTTCGGGCGGAGGGGCCAAGGGGGCTTCAACCCTTGCCTCCTTGGCTTCTTTACGGGGGTAAGGAATCTTGAAGGCAATGGGTGGTCCGTAGTACTGCCGCCACGCAGCGCTTGCGCGCTGGTCTGGACATCCAGCGGTTCCATCGGCAGCCGCCGCTCCCCGCGCCCTGGCGCGAGCGTCGCCCAATTCCTCAGGCGAGGGCCGAAACGAGGTTGCAGCCCGCGAACGACGGCATGAATGGGGAAACGCCCAAGTGCTTCGTAAGCTCGCAGATTTGTCCTAAATCACATAAACAAATCTGGGACCCACTGCCCAGCAGCACAACCCACCGCCACCACCGCAAACCACCACACCACCACCACCGCCGCCACCACCACCACCACCATCACAGCAAACGTCCACAAACCACCTCCACCACCACAACCCACCACAACCACCACCACAAACCACCACCACACCACCATCACACCACCACAATCACCACCACCACAACTCACCATCACCACCACCACCACCACCACCACCACAAAAACCCACCACTACTACCACCACCACCAATCTACCACACCACCACCACCACCACCACCACCACCACCGCCACAACCACCACCACTATCAGCAGCACAACCCACCACCACCACCACAACCACCACACCACCACCACCACCGCCACCACCACCACCAGCACCACCTCCACAAACCACCGCCACAACCACAACCACGAAGGCTCCGAGAAGCCAAACGACCGCTCCAAGACGCCCACGATGGCCCCAAGACGGGCCAAGAGGTCTCCAAGACGGCCCCTGAGGTCCCAAATGAGCCTCCCAAGAGGGCCCAAAGAGTCAAAAATTGCTGATTTTCCAGAGTGTTCTTCGACGTTTTTTGCTTTTCCGCCTTTCCGGCTTCCCGACGCTCCAAGACGGCAAAGAGGCCCCAAAGATAGCCCCAAGATGGCCCAAGAGGCCCCCAAGACGGCCTCCAGACGGCCCAAGACGGCCCCAAGACGGCCCAAGAGGTCCCCAAGACGGCCCAAGAGGGCCGATTTGGAGGGGGGGAGGGGGCCGGGACGAGCGCAGCACGGCCGGGACGAGCGGTTCCAGGGCTTTTCCGGGCCCAAGAGGGCCTCAAGACGGGCCAAGAAGGCTCCAAGAGGCCTCCAAGACGGCCCACGAAGGCTCCGAGACGCCAAACGATCCCTCCAAGACACCCAAGATGGCCCCAAGACGGGCCAAGAGGTCTCCAAGGCGGCCCCCGAGGTCCCATACAAGTCTCCCAAGAAGGCCCCAAGAGTCTAAAATTGTTGATTTTCCATAGTGTTTTTCGACGTTTTTTGCTTTTCCGCCTTTCCGGTTTCCCAACGCTCCAAGACGCGCGACGAGGCCCCAAAGATAGCCCCAAGATGGCCCAAGAGGCCCCCAAGACGGCCTCCAGACGGCCCCAAGACGGCCCAAGAGGTCCTCAAGACGGCCCAAGAGGGCCGATTTGGAGGCGGGGAGGGGGCCAGGACGAGCGCAGCACGGCCGGGACGAGCGGTTCCAGGGCTTTTCCGGGCCCAAGAAGGCCTCAAGACGGGCCAAGAAGGCTCCAAGAGGCCTCCAAGACGGCCCACGAAGGCCCCGAGACGCCAAACGACCGTTCCAAGACGCCCAAGATGGCCCCAAGACGGGCCAAGAGGTCTCCAAGACGGCCCCCGAGGTCCCAAACAAGCCTCCCAAGAGGGCCCCAAGAGTCTAAAATTGTTGATTTTCCATAGTGTTTTTCGATGTGTTTTGCTTTTCCGCCTTTTCGGCTTCCCGACGCTCCAAGACGGCCAAAGAGGCCCCAAAGACAGCCCCAAGATGGCCCAAGAGGCCCCCAAGACGGCCTCCAGACGGCCCAAGACGGCCCCAACACGGCCCAAGAGGTCCCCAAGACGGCCCAAGAGGGCTCCAAGACGGCACCACGAGGGGCCCAAGAGGGCGACCAAACATGTTGAAACTCTAGCTTTCTGCCCCCAGGAGCCCCAGGGGGCCCCAAGAGTGCCCCAAGAGGCCCCCAGAGGCCCTCACGAGGCCGCCCAGACGCCCCAAGGAACCCCCAAGAAGCACCCCAGAGGCTCCGAAACGGCCCCCGAGTGGCTCCAAAACTCGCAGTGTCGCTGTCCGCTCGGACCTCCCCGCGGAACTGCCCGAGACCCTCTGGCGGTGGCGGCGAACAGACACCAAACAAATATCACTCGCCTTTTCACCCCTTGGCAGCTTCTACTACCCCCAGATTGGCATAAACAAGGGGTCGGCGGTGTGGCGTAAGCCTAAGAATCACCACCACACCACCACCTAACCACCACCACCACCTTAACCCACCACCACCACCACAAACCACCACCACACCACCACCAAACCACCACCACCACCACCTGCCGCCACAACCAGCACCACCACCGCAAACCACCACACCACCACCACCACCACAACCACCACCACCGCCACCACCACCACCACCACAACCCACCACCACCGTCACCACCGTCGTCCTCGTCGACCCTCCCCGCCACCGCCGCCCGCCGCCGCAGGCGCCAGCCGGCGCCAGCCCAGAAATGGAAATCGTCGTCCCCGCCGCCGTCGCCAGCCGCCGCCGACGCAAGCGGCGGCCCGAGGAGACGGGAAGCAGGGAGGGGAGAGGGGGGGGATGAAACCCCCCCCCTCCATCACGGGAGGGGGGGGGGGTTCGAACCCCCCCCTCCCCTCCATCCAGGGGTAGGTGGGAAGGGTCCGATTCCAAACCCCCCCTCCCCCCACCCCCCTCCAAGCGACCACAGAACGCTCTCTTTCCATCATCCATGTCCTCATCGTCCTGGGCCTCGGAGATCTCGTCGAACTCGGTGATGCTTATCTTGATCCGTTCCAGATCATCTTCAGCTCGGCGCTCGTCTTCAATCTGGCTATCCACCTTCTCCTTGATGTTGGCTTGTCGTGGGTCATGTAACTGCCGCGTAATTGTATTGTTGCCTGCATCAGCTTGATGACGGCCACCTCTTCCGCATAGTCGGCATACACGTGGCCTGCGTCCATGGCTGCCAACGCTAACCTCGTAAGCATCGTAAATCGGTCCCTGTTGTTCTGCTTGAAATCTGTCAGCTCGTTGATGTCAGTGGGCGATTATCGAAACAAATATCGTCCCTTCGCTGTGGCCGTGGCCCCGGTGCGAGTGGCAGGGACGATCTTGGCAATGAAACTGCGAATGGCCTTCGCCTTGGTATCTTTCTTATGGTTCTTAGCAGCGCTAGGCGATCGGCGCTGCGTTATGGCCGTAGCTGCAGCAGCATAGGCATCTTCAGTGATGTCCCTTGACGAACCTCCCACACTGAAGACAGTCACACTTCGCACCTGGCCCGAGCAATC